AACGCCGGCATTCCGGCGCGTGTGGTCACCGGGTTCGCCGGCGGCACGCGCAACCGGATCGGCGACTACTGGGTACTGCGGCGGATGGACGCACACGCCTGGGCCGAGGTGTGGCTGCCGCAACGCGGCTGGGTGCGCATCGACCCGACAGCAGCAGTAGCACCCGAGCGCATCCTGGACACGCTCGACGACCGTCTGCAGGCCGGGGCCGATACCGGACTACAGCAGCGCTGGCTGCAGCTGGGCCAGGTCGGCGACTGGATGCGCAGGGGCTGGAACGAACTGGTGCTGTCGTTCGACGCGCGCCGCCAGCAGCAGCTGCTGCAACCGTTTGGTCTGGACGATCTGCAGCCGGGACAGCTGCTGACCGGCTTCGTGATGGCGGTGTCGCTGGCGCTGGCCTGGATGGCGTGGCTGCTGGCCCGTGGCGAACGCGAGCGCGACCCGCTGCTGCGCGCCTGGCACCGGCTGGGGCTGCGCTATGCGCGGCTGGGGCTGGGCCGCGAACCGCACGAACCCGCCCTGCGCTGGGCACACCGGGTCCACGGGCAACGCCCCGACCCGGCCCTCATCACACTCAGCCAGCGTTTCGCTGATGCACGCTACGCTGGCACTTGTACCGAGCTCGCCCCATTATTGCGGGACCTGCGCAGGCATCGCCCGACTTCCGGAGCCTCCCCATGAATACCAAGTTCCTCCTCACCGCCGTGGCCGCCCTTGCCCTGTCGGCCTGCGCCACGGCCCCCAAGCCGCTGCAGGGACAGTTCAGCCTGGTTTCCCCGCGCGACTCGGTTGCCACCCAGCAGGTCGGCACGCCGGTGCGCTGGGGTGGCCGGATCATCGAAACCAAGCCCGGCCAGGGAGAGACCTGTTTCCAGATCATCTCGCGGCCGCTCAACGGTAGCGGCCGCCCGAACACCACCTCCTCCGATGCCAGTGACGGCCGCTTCATCGCCTGCCGTGCCGGCTTCTACGACCCGGCCGTGTTCGAAGCCGGCCGCGACGTGACCTTCATCGGCAAGATCGATGGCTACGCCAACACCCGTATCGGTGATTACGACTACCGACTGCCGAAGCTGGCGGCCGACGTGATCTATCTGTGGCCGGAGCAGCGCCAGGTCGATGTCGTGCCCTACCCCTACGGACCGTGGGGCCCGGGCCCGTATGGCCCGTACTGGGGTGGTTACCGCGGCTGGGGCTGGTGGTAGTCCAGGCCCGGTACGCATGATGTAGAAGGCCGCCCATCGGGCGGCCTTTTTCGTCAGCAGTGCATCAACGACAGTAGATCCACGCCATGCGTGGATGGCTCCATCAACGCCCCGGTGTACCGAAGTGACCCAACGGTGCGCCAGCCAGCAGGTGCATGTGGATATGGAACACGGTCTGCCCGGCATCTTCGCGGCAGTTCATCACGATGCGGTAGCCGTCCTGCGCGAAGCCTTCCTGCCGCGCGTACTTGGCGGCGGCCAGGGCCAGCTTGCCGATCAGGTGCGCCTGTGACGGCTGCAGGTCATCAAGGGTCGGGATGATCTCGTTCTTCGGAATGAACAGCACGTGCACCGGCGCCTGCGGCGCGATGTCCTTGAACGCCAGCACGTCCTCGTCCTCATAGACGATGGTGGCCGGGATCTCGCGACGGATGATCTTGCTGAAGAGGGTTTCGCTGCTCATGGACGGCCTCGGCGGGGTGTTTTCCGCATTGTAGGCCGGTAACACCGGGGCACGCCCGGCATCGACTCAATCGCGCACTTCGCTGCGGGTGCCGAACGCGTGCGACAGCGTGCCGCGATCGACGTACTCCAGCTCACCGCCGAGGGGCAGGCCCTGGGCCAATCGACTGGGCCGCACCTGGCGGGCGCGCGCCAGCTGCGCGAGGTAGTGCGCGGTGGCTTCGCCTTCGACGGTGGCGCTGGTGGCAATGATCAGCTCCTGCACTTCTGCTTCCGCCAGGCGCTGTTCCAGCTGCTCCAGACCCAGCTCGCGCGGGCCGATGCCATCCAGCGGCGACAGGCGCCCCTGCAGCACGAAGTAGACACCGCGATAGCCGGTAGCGTTCTCGATCGCCAGGCGGTCAGCCGGCGATTCCACCACGCACAACTGGCTGCGCTCGCGGCTGCCATTGGCGCAGGTCGGGCACAGTTCGGTTTCGCTGAAGTCGCGGCACTGCGCGCAGTGACCGATGCGTTCGACCGCCTGCGCCAGCGTCTCGGCAAGGCGCTTGCCACCTTCGCGCTCGCGTTCGAGCAGGTGGTAAGCCATGCGCTGTGCCGTCTTCTGGCCTACGCCAGGCAACACCCGCAGTGCATCGATCAGTTGTTCAAGCAGGGGTGCGGACACGGCGGCGTGTTCTGTAGAGCCGAGCGTGCTCGACTGGAAATTGCGGGCAGTCGAGCACGCTCGACGCTACACAGTGCGTGGCACCCGGCAGTGCGGGCGCCACGCGGCACATCAGAACGGCATCTTCATGCCCGGCGGCAGCTGCATGCCGGCGGTGGCCGAACCCATCTTCGACTTCGACTCGGCGTCGATCTTGTTGGACGCATCGTTGAAGGCGGCAGCGATCAGGTCTTCCAGCATTTCCGGATCGCTGGCAAGCGATGGATCGATGCGCACCTTGCGGCACTCCTTGGCACCGGTCAGGGTGACGCTGACCATGCCGCCACCGGCGCTGCCGGTCACTTCGATCTTGGCGATTTCTTCCTGGGCCTTCTGCAGGTTTTCCTGCATCTTCTGGGCCTGCTGCATCAGTTGGGCGATATTGCCGCGCATGTCGTCTTACTCGTCAAAAGAACGGATGGAATCGGAAACAACCCGGGCGCCATGCTGCTGGATCAGCAGCTGGACTTCCGGATCGTCCATGAAAATGGCCTCGGCAGCCTGCTGCCGTTCGCCACGCTGGCGGTCGGCACGCTGGTGCAGGGTCTCGGCCGGGACCTGCTCGGTTTCCACGGTTTCGACCACGATCTTCAGCGCGTGGCCAAGGGACTTTTCCAGTACCTCGCCCAACGCTGCCAGCGCGCGCTCGGAGCGCAGGTATTCAAATCCGGGCGAAAGGCCCAGTTTCAAGACCCCATGCTGGCAACTGATGAAGGCCGCGTTGGCCGCAAGCTGTCGCGATGGACCACTCAGGCCACTGTTTGCGACCAGGTCGAGCCAGTCCTCGGCACAGGCCAGCTCGCTGACGCTGCCTGCCGGCGAGGCTTTTTCCTTTGCCGCAACCGGTGCCGGGGCGATGTCGATACCTTCGGCACGGAACGGGCGTTCCGGCATGGCAATGGCTTCTACGACCGGTTGCGATGCCGGCGCTGGCGGCTCGTGCCACGGGGCGACCATGGCCGCGTCGGGCGTAGCCATCTCGGCCGCCAGCGCTTCATCGCGCGCGCCAACCTCATCGGTCGCCCACGGCGGCAGATCGTCTCCCTCGACCGCCGCCTTGGGCGTGGCCGCCTCGGGAGCCAACCGCACCTTCATCGGCGGTGGAGACTCGGGCTCCTCGACCGGAACCGGCTCGGGGTCAGGGATCGGATCCGGTTCGCGGGCAGGTTCGGGTTCGGGTTCCGGATCAGGTTCACGCGGTGGCGCCGGGTTTGGCGTCTGTGCGGTTACCTCCGCCAGCATCGGTGCCGCAGCGGCCGGACTGGCGACGACGGCTTCCTGCGCCGCAGCGGCCGCCGGAGCAGCCCCTTCAAGGCCGCCAGCTCCGCCGCCACCAACCTGGCCCATACCGGTCGGTGCGCTGCCACCGGAGGATTCAGGCGTACGCGGCACCGACGGCACGGCAGCCGCAGGCCGGAACGCCAGCATGCGCAGCACGGCCATTTCAAAGCCGGCGCGCGGGCTGGGCGCCAACGGCAGATCACGACGACCGTTCAAGGCCATCTGATACCAGAGCTGGACCACTTCCGGGCGCAGGCGCTCGGCGAACACGCTGGCATCCAGTCCTTCGGCAGCGGCGGATGCGCCCGGCACCAATTGCTGCACCTGGATGCGGTGCAGGCCCTCGGCCAGCGCATCAAGCACACCGCTCCAGTCCGGCGAGAACTCGGCCAGGGCGGCCACCACCTGCAGCAGGCGCGGGCCATCGCCCTCGGCCAGGGCATCGAGCATGGCCGCCACCTGGGTGCGGTCGACCGTGCCCAGCATGGTGCGCACCACGTCCTCGCGCAGCGCACCGCCGGCGTAGGCGATGGCCTGGTCGAGCAGCGACAGGCCGTCACGCAGGCTGCCGTCGGCGGCCTTGGCCAACTGCACGATGGCGGTCGGGTCCGACTCGATCTCCTCGGCGGTGAGGATGCGGGTCATCTGCCCCTGGATCTGATCCTCATCCAGGCGCTTGAGGTTGAACTGCAGGCAGCGGCTGAGCACGGTGACCGGCAGCTTCTGCGGGTCGGTGGTGGCCAGCAGGAACTTCACATGCTCCGGCGGCTCTTCCAGCGTCTTCAGCAGCGCATTGAACGCGGCCTTGGACAGCATGTGCACTTCGTCGATGAGGTACACCTTGTACTTGCCACGCGAGGGCATGTACTGGGCGTTCTCGATCACCTCGCGCACATCGTCCACGCCGGTGTTGGACGCGGCATCGATTTCCAGCAGGTCGATGTATCGACCGGCATCGATGTCCAGGCAGGCCGCACACTGGCCGCAGGGATCGGCACTGGTACCCTGCTCGCAGTTCAGCGACTTGGCGAAGATGCGCGCGATCGTGGTCTTGCCCACGCCGCGGGTACCGGTAAACAGGAACGCATGGTGGACCCGGCCGCTGTCCAGCGCATTGCTGAGCGCACGGACCACGTGTTCCTGGCCCACCAGCTCGGCAAAACGCTTCGGACGCCACTTGCGGGCAAGGACGAGATAGGACATCAGGCCACCGTCTTTCATCGGATGTTCCATTGTGCCACGCCTGTCCAGCCCTCTCGCCCTGCAAACCAGTGCTTGTGTACTGCCGCGGCGCCCGCTAGAATTTGCGCCCCTGCTGAGGCGTTTGCCGATGGCAGGGATCCGGAGAGGTGTCCGAGTGGTTGAAGGAGCACGCCTGGAAAGTGTGTAAGCGTCTAAACCGCGCTTCGGGGGTTCGAATCCCCCTCTCTCCGCCAGATAACTGAAAAAGGCTGCCCGAAAGGGCAGCCTTTTTCAGTTATCTGGCGCGGGACGCGAATTGCGCTGCGCGCGCTTCGCCCCAAACGTTGCTGCGCAACGTCTGGGCCCCTCCCTTTGCCTGCCTCTCCCCGCCCCTGTCGTGGCAGCCCCTCAACAGAGGGGCTTGTTCCTCCAGATACGGCAGTAGATCCACGCCATGCGTGGATGTCTCGGCCCGGTCGAGTCGACTACCCGCCCATGCCCCAGCCTCCCGCTGCCCCCGTCCCCAGCGCCCTCACCCCTCGCTGAACAGCTGGTTCAAGGCCGCATACCCCGGCGCCCCCTCCGGCATCGCCATCGCGTCGCGGAGAAAATCCTTGGTCGCCGCAGCCATCGCCGTCCATGCGTGCATGAACAACGCGGGCCCTGCGCTCAGCCGCCGCACGCCGGCCTGCGACAGCGCAGCAAACGACGCCATCCCCGGCAGCCACATCAGGTTGAGAGGCAGCGACACGGCGCCAGAAACGGCCGCAGCCTCGTCCAGCGCGCGCAGCCCCGGCACGAAGCCGCCGTCGGCACCGGCACGCGCATAGGCCTGCAGCCGATCAATGCTCATCCCCACTGCCTCATCACCTTCGGCCAGGCCGCGCAGATACACATCGGTGCGCGCATTGATGAACAGTGCTCGCCCGCCAAGCGCAGAACGGATGGCGCTGATCTTGGCCACCAGCGCCGCAGGGCTGCCAGCGCCGTCTTCGATGTTGATCCCGACCGCACCCGCTTCCACCAGGCGCAGCACCCGCGCAGCGACCACGTCGGGGGCATCGCTGTAGCCGTCCTCGATATCGACAGTGACCGGCAACGAGGTAACGCCAACGATTTCGGAAACCCGTTGCAGCAGCGCGGTATCAGGCAGCGCACCGCCATCGGCATGACCGCAGGACCACGCCATCGCAGCACTCGACGTTCCCACCGCGAGAGCCCTCTGCTGCTGGACCAGGCGGGCGCCACCGGCATCCCATACGTTGGGCAGCACGTAAAGATCCGCACCTTGGTGAAGTTGAACAAAACTGGCGTGAGCGTTTGACATGGAACCTCCTGATGACGGGGACGCGCAGTCTGCGCCCGAACCGGTTTCCGGGCTCGCCATGTTCGGACATCAATGGTCCGGACTCCCGCACAATGTGCCCGCCACCACGATGACGTGCATTCATGACATCCCGCCCCTACCACTGCCGCGACATCACCGCCTGCCTGTCGATCTTCGACAGCAACATGCCCACCTACTTCGCACCGGCAGAGCGGGGTGACTTCGAGCGTTTCCTGCATGAACACGCCGCGCAGTGCGCATTCCAGGTGATCGAAGTCGAGGGCCAAGTGGTGGCCTGTGGCGGCCTCTGGAACGGCGGCGAAGGCAGCGCCAGCTTCTGCTGGGGCATGGTCGGACGACGTCGCCACAGACAGGGGCTGGGACGCGCGCTGGCAGTGGCCCGCTTGCACCAGGCCGAAGCAGATCCGTCGATCCAGCGCATCACGCTCAGCACCAGCCAGCACACGCAGGGCTTCTATGCAGGCCTCGGCTTCCAGGTGCTGCGCGTGGTGGCCGACGGCCACGGCGCCGGGATCGACGCCGTGGAGATGGAGCGGGTGCTGTAGCCTCCCGCCCCCCCCCCCTTGCCCGGCCTCAACTGCTGGAGAGTTTCATCAGCACCAGGCCGGCGACGATCAATACCGCTGCACCAATCCGCATCGGGTTGACCTGCTCGCCCAGGAACACGATGCCGACCACGAAGGCACCGACCGCGCCGATGCCGGTCCAGATCGTATAAGCGGTGCCCAGCGGCAGACTGCGCATGGCGACGGCCAGCAGCCAGAAGCTGGCGATCATGCCGACGATGGTGATGATGGTGGGGGTGAGTTTGGTGAAGCCTTCAGACTGCTTCATCGATACGGCCCAGACGATTTCCAGCAGGCCGGCAAACAACAGATAGATCCAGGCCATGACAGCCCTCCTTTGGTAGGGCCAGGCCGTCCTGGTCATTGAATCCCGATGTGGGGGAGGTCGTTCCTCCTGCGGCCGGATTCTAGCAACGGCGGCAGCCCTGGGCCGATGCCGCAGGCAACGGGTTACATCGGATTCAGCGCGTGAAGCTGGCGTCAGCGCCCATGCCTGCGTTAGAATGCGCGTCTGCCATCGGTCAACGGATGCGCAGTCCGGCTGTGGTCTCCGGCGCACGACGCGCTGCTTCCCCTGGTCCGTGAATCGGCCGCCTCCGGGCGGCCAACGTCTCTATGGTGGCCCCGTCGGCCCCTCGCGACGCTAGGTCGAAAACTCCGCCAGGGCCGGAAGGCAGCAACGGTATCGATCGACGCGGGCGCCGAGGTCAGCCGGCGGGGCCACCGCCTTTTCGGGCGATACCCCGCCCTGGTAGATGCCAACCTTGGTTGGCGCCCTTCGCCGGGCATGGCCCGGCGCTACCGTGCCTCGGGCGTGCCCTGATGGAACACCATCCGCCAGCCCGTCGAATGCAGGCGCCACAGCGAGCTGCGCAGCACCCAGCGCTGCGGTTGGCCATCAACGTGAGAGCGGCTGCGGTAACGCACCTGGGCCAGGCCCTCTGCCAGCATCCACACGGCGTACCGGTCCGATTCGATCACAACCTGCGCACCCTCCAGCGGGATCTCTTCCAGCGCTGCCTCACGGCCATAGCACCGTCCAGAGCTGCCGATCTCGCCGAAATCCTCATCCAGCAATGCCGCCAGGCGCTGATGATCTGCGCGCACCTGCGGGGAGTGCAGTGCGCGTTCCAGCCCCTCCAGTTCGGCAGCCAGCGCCGACGTTGCGGCGTGGCCAGCGCTGCTCACGGCGGATCCTGCGCCAGTACGTGCGGGGCGGTCGGCGGGGCCAGCACAACGCACTGGCCGGGCTGTGCCACCCGGTGTCCGCGCGCGACCAGAGCCTGGCCATCGGCCACGCTGGCGTAGTGGTACAGCATCATCCGTGCCTGCAGCTCGGCGCTGTACTCGCGTTCCAGGTCATCCACCCCGGTGTGCGAAGGATTGCCATGCAACCCGCAATCGTGGGCGATCAGCTCATTGTCATTGGCAAAGCGCGCCAGCATTTCCGGAATCGGCCGGGTATCGCCGCTCCAGGTCAGCGCGCCCTGCAGCCGCAGGCCATAGGCTGTCTCCGGCCAGTGATGGCGCACCGGGAACACCTCCAGGCGCACGCCCTCGTGCCAGAACGCATCGCCCACCACGATCAGTTGGAAGGCATCCCAGAAGTTGGCGCCGCCCTCGGCCAGCACGTTCGGGTAATCGCCGATGCGCTTGTGCAGCAGCGGCACCACCGTGGCCGGCACATACATGCGCACCTTGCCGCGCCGCTGCGCGCTGAAGAAGGTGTCCACGAACAGCCGTTCGAAACCCGCCACATGGTCCAGGTGTACATGGGTGACGAACAGCGCCTGTGGCATATGCCCGTAGTGCGCCTTGAAGGCAGTCAGGCCTTCACCGCCACAGTCGATGGTCAGCCACGGCCGGCCATCACGCTCGATTACCGACATCGGCGAACCCAGCTCGACCGCCGACGCATTGCCGACGCCGAGGAAACGCAACGACCAGTCCATCAGGTGCCCCGGTTCCAGGCCATGTCATAGGCGCGACGCAGGCGCGCGTAGTCTTTTTCCACGTCTTCCACGCTGCGCTCGCCGCGCAGCTTGATCAACGAGCGCAGCAGGCGCTTGAGATTGCGCTCGCGCCAGGCGGTGGCCGGGATGCGGATCACCCCGCGATCGAAGTCGATCAGCCAGCCATGGCCGTTGCCGTCGAACAGGATGTTGTGTGCATTGAGATCGGCATGGTCCAGCCCGGCACGATGGAAGCGCGCGATCATCCGCCCGGTTTCTTCCCACGGCGCCCCGCGCCCGGCCACCAGTGCGCGGTCGGCCAGCGAGCGCACCCCTTCGATCCGTTCCATCAGGATCGCGGCGCGGTAGCGCAGGCCCTCACGCATGTAGAAGGCGGCAATCGGCCTGGGCACCGGCAGCTTCTTCTCGCGCAGCGCGCGCATCAGCCGGAATTCGGCAAAGCTGCGGGTCCGGTCCGCCCCCCGCCAGATGTACTGGTCGTGGCTGATCCGGGCCGCCAGCCCCCCGCGCAGGTAGTGCCGCAACACGCTGGGACCGAACGGCGCATCCACCAACCAGGCGCTGCCGCGGCCGCCCTCACCCACCGGCCGGGCCCTGCCGGCCCAGTGCTGTGGCGAGAACAGACCGATGTCGGCTTGCCGCAGCCGCTCGCGGTCGAACAGAATGGCCCCGATGCCGCGACCCTCGCGGCATGGCGTCAGCGCTTCATTGGCGTCGAATGCGACCATTCCTTTGAGTCTAACAACACATGGCATCAGCGTCCTCCTCCTTGTGTCTTCTGCGCCTGTCCGCTCTTGGCGATGTGACCCACGTAGTGCCGCTGGTGCGCACCCTGCAGGCCGCGCGCCCGGATACGCCGATCCACTGGATCATCGACAAGGTCGGGCAGAAGCTGCTTGATGGCCTGCCGGGCGTCACCTTCCATGCCTACGACAAGAAGACCGGCATGGCCGGAGTGAAGGAGCTGCGCAAGCAGCTGCCGCCCGGGCGTTTCGAGGCCCTGCTGCAGATGCAGGTGGCGTTCCGCGCCAACGTGCTGTCGGCCTTCATTCCCGCAGATCGCCGCATCGGGTACGACCGCAGCCGCTCCAAGGACCTGCACGGCCTCTTCATCAACGAACGAATCCCTGATCGCCCGGGCATCCATGTGCTCGATGCCATCGGCAGCTTCTGCGAGCCGCTGGGCCTGCGCCAGACCGACGTCAGCTGGGATCTGGCCGTGCCGCAGGCCGCCTATGACTGGGCCGCTGCGCAATGGCAGGACGATGGCCGGCCGGTGCTGATGATCTCGCCGTGCTCCAGCCACGTGCGCCGCAACTGGTACGCCGACCGCTACGCCGAGGTCGCCAACCATGCCGTCACGC